GTGCGTGCGTGCGTGCGTGCGTGCGTGCGTGCGTGCGTGCGTGCGTGTGTGTGTGTGCGTATATATATTCTAAGGTATATTTACGAAGAGCAACCACTAGAGTTTCTTTGCTCATTCTCAGGGGACTCTGCCTTACGAATGAGCAGTAGAGTTTAATCGATATGACGATTTCAAATATAATTTGCTTACCTATGAAATAAAGATGGTTTCAATTTTGAATTTTTGGAAACATGTCATGCACTTAGAATAATAACGCATAGAATGATAGTTTCATATCAAACGAACTGTCACAAGTGAGGCAAAAATCAAATTCATGTAGGCTAGTTTTAGTAGTACATTCATTTTCGGTTTTAGTGAATATTTATATATAAATACAAGTTGAAACGCGTTAGTTCCTTGTGGAATGTGATGTTAGTATCTATTTTATGTTTGTCTGACGTATTTTTACACTCATTTACCGCACAATTCGTCATTTTTAGCTAAAATCCTTGATCTGTTCGCGGTGCACGTTGACCTTGAGCACTGACGGCCCGCCCGCTCGTGTAGGCCTTTTGGGAGCGCTTCAATTTGCCTCACTTAGCGTGTGCGGACTAGGTTTCTATGCGTTATGATTCTAAGGTCATCCATTATGATTTTAATTTGAAGAGAGTGATTGCGAACATCTCTAGTTCGAGGAGTAACTCGAGCTCTGAATCGGAAGTTGATGATGGATGAGATATGCTGAGGATACAATTTTGTTTCTTTTCATCTATCATTGCATACTATCTAGCAGGAAGTATTGAAAGATATTAAAAACATAATTATTTTTTATTATGATTAACATGATCTTAATATATTTATTTTTTACGTATAAATAGCTCTATTTAGCCTAAAAATGAGTATTGACAAAAAGTTGCCATCGGTTGCCTAGCAACGTTTTGTTGTTAAAAGTATCACTAGAGATACGTATTATTTCCTGATATAATTTCGTGGTTTTCTAAGGTACTTTTATTATTAAATAAATAACGTAATATGAATTGCATGTGAATTGAAAAGATCAGAGTCAAAAATAGAATAACAACCTTTTTATTCAAATTCAAATACATTGTAAATCGTACCAATATTATAGTCACGCAGTTGTCCGCAAAAAAACTAATCGTTGGATCAATCCTGAGTTTTTACCTGCGCTCGCGCTGCCCGTCTCGGCGAAAATATGCAGACTTAACAAGATGGACTCTGACGACAAAAAAATACTTTTCAAAATGTAATAACCTAATCTTTACTTACTATTTATTATAGCTACATAATTAAATATTACAATTCTACAGTAGCCATTTAAGAATAATGTGCTACATATGTGTAGGTAACTAAATATCAGGAAGTCTATGACCTCGTTGATGCTTATTGCATTCCGAAAAGATGACATCATATCTCTTCGTGTGTAACTGTATTACTTTGTATATCTCGTAAGTTCACGCTTAGAAATTCTGTTATGAATGCAGGGGCTTAATAAAATTAAGAACAATTATTGTTAATTAGGTACGTATTAATTTTGTATTAGTTATCGACAAATACGACTGAAACTTTTTGAGATAGGTACGCGTATGTCTATTGTTCGTCCAGTCTCATCTAATTGGTTTGTTGTTGGTTGATTAGTGCTAGAGTATAATGTAGAGCATAGTTTCCCAAAGCGGTCCCTACCGCTCCCCAGTAGGCGCTGAAGAGTCCTAGGAGGGTAGGGACCTCGGAAGCAATAGCAAAAGTGCAGGTGTTGCTGCATTTGATAAAAAATTAAATATATATGATTTTTGTGTCATGTTTAAGTGTTTTCAATTATTTTTTATGGTGGAGGACGATGTAGTCAAAGTCAAAATCAAATAATCATTTATTCCGTAGGTAAAATTTTTATACTTGAAAAGTTATTTATGTAAGTTTTAAACGTAGGAAATTATACTCTTAATATATTCTCCGGAAACTTATCGTAAAACCGTATACAGTTCCCCATAAAAGAATCGTTTACCTTAGTTAAACAAAATCGTGGTACCAATTTATTGATAAAAAAAAACAATACATCGGTATACACGGTAATCTACTTCGGCGGCTTGAGTCGTACCTCCGCGACACGAGCCAAGCGGTTGCGATCAAAGGGTTCACTTTCAGTTTCATCCTATTAGTTCCGATGTTCCTCAGGGATCTCACCACACAGAGTTTCTTTGCAAGAGTTTTAAAGCTCATATGTCTTACCGACGATTGGTAAGCTGTCTATTACAAGTACAGACTCTTCCTTCAAAGCTGTTGCGTATTAAAAATTCTTGAATATCGATATATAACAGCTTGTAACATCTAATGAAAGGTTTGTAACTAAAGAGGTATTTGCATTGTTTACTGCTGTGTTCTTTAGAGGTTCTCCATGAAGGCGTGACTTGATGAGGCGTTCCATCGTAGCCATTATATTTAGATAGCGCTGTTCAGTTTAATCTTCTTCTTCGTAGTTTGTTTCCTCCGGAAGTTGTAAATTGAGTGCTATTTCTGTGTATTTGTAAGAATTGTCCATCAAATTCTGCCTCTTTACCTGAAACTTTCAGGGTAACTTGCTTCTCGTCACCCGATAAATATTTTTCCAATCGCCTGAAAGATGCATTGCGTTGCCCCTTGGCAGCGAACAACTTTCTTTATTCATTTTCGTTCATATCGTCGGTGGTGGTAGACTCATCAGACTTGGATTCTGCACTGTTATTTTCTACTTCAGCACTTGAATTTCATTTGAAAATTTTAGGATTATGCATAGGTTTACGCACAGACCTCATGTGCTCGTAATTATAAAAAAAAACAAACAAAAATACGTTGCTTTGGTTCCATTTTGGTTCTGTCAAATTAAATTTGAGTCTACTTTGCGTAGTTTGTTGAAATGACGTGTGTTGGTCGCTTAGAGGATAAAAAAAAATAAAAGAAAGGAGCTGCGCTAACTACGGAATGAACGTGCATATTTAAACAAAAATTGAACGACACAAATGGCGGATTTCTTTAGTGTCGTACCATAATCTATCGATAAGTTATTATCGGCATGCAAACATTTAATTAAAGTAGATCGATATTCCATTTGGGAATATTTTAGGTTATTATGAGAATATCCGGGAGTGTCACATGAAGTTTTGGATTTATTGTTTTGCGTTTACAAATACTCAAATATTACGAAAAGTGAATTTGCACAGAAAAAAAAATATTTGTAATTTGAGAGTATATAAAAAAGAGAAAACTTTGAAATATAAATAAACATGTTTCGAGTATATTAAATAGCATGCAAATGTCTAATTATACAATGTCAATTGACTACTATTAGTTGAGCGCTTCGATTTGTGCAGAAAAATCAACACTTCCCCGAAATGAGACAAGTAGTCACGAGCGACTGCGAGTTGTGACAAGCCACGTCAAACGAGCTCTATACACGTTATCGCTCGCCTTCACTCGGTCAGCTAGGCGAGTGACACCGAACGATGGCAAGGCAAATAGGCTGTCTATACGTTGGTACTGGCCTTCACCCGGCAACGTTGGACCAACATGGTCTTTGTGTTGCTGGCTTTATAAAATAAGATTTTTTAGTAGTTAGAGTTGTCAGTGGGAAAAAATCGGAAACGAGTAGATAATTTTGTTTTCAGGAACTGAGAATGCCTACTAAATGAGTCGTGTTTGATCTAAATTAAATATAAAATTATTTACCAATAAACCTAATAATGGTATTGCATTATTATGTAATCTAGTTACATTCAAAATTATGTAAAATTTGACTCTTCAAAATGAAGCAAATAAATGAAGATGGTCTTTGATTCAATGTATGATTTCCATCCATTCTGTTTTCTTTTTTGATTTGTAGGTAAATTTGAAATAGTAAAAATAATAATAATAAAATAATAAAAACCTCGTAGTGAATTATTTTAATAACAGAATACCGATAATAAGTACGCTTCCAAGAACAGCACTATCTCAAAATAATTGATAACAACAATCATAAAAATATACAATCAAACGGGCAATCTGAAGAAACCAAAGCAAAATTTGGCAAGGTTTATGAATAAACGACATAAATATGTCTAATTACACGAGATATTTGGGCTTTTGTGTGATTTATAGACAGATAAATAACACGTCCTGTACAGTGTTAGATTCGGTCGATCTTCGCTTTTTTAAATGCCACATCCCGTAATGCGGCAGCGACGAATTTTTCTGTCAATATTTTTGTCCATTTTATTACAATACATGCGAATAATTCAATAAAACACTTGGAAAAACATTTGTTTTGACATTTGATGTACTTCCCTTTGACAACCGTATCATGTACCTCATGTACTGCGAAATGGATACAGTTGGCATTTAAAATGACGTTACGTATTTTCGATTCCCGTCTTTGACACAGATCAATATAATGCTATCTCTTTTGACTTAAGACGGGACGCAATAGTTAAACAAAGACAATAACATGTTTATGTTTTTGACGTCGAAATGCATTGTATATTATATAACGTCTGAATTGTATATGCCAACGTAACATGTCCTTTAGTTTCCATAGTCTAAGGTTGATCGTGACTGGGTGGTATTGACCATCTCCGTCCGTCGCGCAACGAGAACAAACAATGCTCACTGAGAACAAACCAAAGATAGAAAGACTTATTAAATTCAAAATGGTGAAAACAAATTTCCTTCCTTTGCAAATTTGCCTTGATAAAAACCACTGAAAGTTATTAAAAATAAGATAATTAAAATAACAAAACTATAAGTTTTAACTGAATTAACAAACGTTATATATTCATAACTTGTGTTATAATTTCTTAGAGGATGGAAAAAAATAAATTTTACTATAAATAGCAAACATTTTAAAACCCATGTACTAATCGTACTTCATATCTATCGCGATACATATAATTAAATATGAAGTCTGTTATTCTAATTTTGCTGGTTGGAACAGTGCTCGTATTATGTGATGTAAATATAGTTTTTGATCTGAACAAAGCCGAAGAGCTCTTCGAACAATTCATTAAAGACTACAACAAGGTTTACGAAGACGACGAAGATAAAAAGGTTCACTTTGAAGCGTTCAAGAAAAATTTGGAACAAATTAATAAGTCAAACCAGGAAAATCCAGATGCTATTTTTGGCATCGACGATTTCACTGATTATACTGAGGAAGAATGGTCGCATATGCACGGCGTCATCCTACCTACCTCATCAACGGAAAATATTCCGGAATAAAACGCGACTAATCGACTCAAGAGTAGAACAACTTTCGTATAATTACTTTATGTCAGCAGGTAGACTTGTTCTCCAAAAGGTAACCGAATTCAAAATTAAGGTTTTAAATTCGACAATAGAAGAATTTTTATGACGGTGTGTTACCTCCACATGTGTATCTTATGCATTTATGAATCAATTTTGGAGATGTGTTTTGATTGATAAGCGATAGATATTAATTTTCACTCAGAATATTAGGATTTTCTTGGCTGAGAGCGTACAAAGGTGTTTAGATACAATAAAATTTTGTTATGGTAGTTAAGCACCTCTGTCAGCTCTCAGCCAACAAAGCTTTTTCTGTTTTTAGACCTTGATTTGGTTCTTGAAGACAAATTTGAAAACTGTACTTTGAAGTAGATACTTCGACTTTTGCTGAAATTGGTTTGTCAGTTTTCGCTTTCAGGTTTTTTATTTCTTGTAGAATTTTTTATCTTCTATGTAGAAGGCGATAGATGTTAAACCGCTTTTTCTGGAAGAGCTATAAAAGCGGTCGTCAAAATCTTTTGCCGCATCTTTCGAATTTCTGCAAAACAGGTCTTCGGAATATAGACAAACATTATGCTTTCATACAATTAAAGAAATACATTTTAGCATTTAAAAAGTAGTATATTTTTAATGACGTAGATGGATTTAAGAAACACAATACAACGTCAAGTAAATGTCACTTCTCCGCTGTGACTCCCAGGAATTAGAGGTGCAGGGAGTAACTGGTTTAGATGAGGGATGAGTCCACGGTTATTTCTTATCATATAATGTATCTGCTTGTGGTAGCAAATTCTTTCCCTACCGTGTGTTAGGATTCTCGTGGAAGTACTTTATGATGTGCTCTAATCTAGGCAGCCAAACGTTTTCTCACTTTCCTCCTATAAAATACATGCTTATGATGTAGGGCGCATTTCCTGAGGTAACCAGTTTAGCTCGAAGGAGACTTCGTTCCTAATTTGTTATGTTATTAAGGACATATGTACATTTTATCACATAAGTTAAACACATTTTTGATGACAGAGAAATGTGTAAACAAATTCTCGCCCTTGGAATCTCATTGGGGTGGGCGGTGAGTACCGTCTGCTAATTAGCACGATTTTGGCAAAACTCTCTTGCTTACTTACATTTAACAACGTTTGTGGATTGTTTACTGACCTAATTTTTATATCTGATAAGTTCAAGGTTTGAAATTCTGTTATGGAAGTTGATGCTTAATTTAAGCAAATAAGACTTAACTATGTTAATTCGGTACATCTTAATTACTGCGTAGTTATCGGTAGACATGGCAAAAACGCTGTGGCTGTTTGTTAATAATTAATTATACTGTTATATGATTTTTCAACAACTGTTATTTTAAACTGTTGTCAGAAAATCTGTTATTCTACTGTTTTTTAGTTTTGCATACAATATGATAAGGATAGCGAATGAATATTGTGTTGTGTTGCCAGGTGGTTACATCCTTATTTTTTTGCAACTTTTGATCTTCTCGCGTAAGTAATATATACTTAAGGGAATCCAAGTATACCTATTTGTTATTGTAAATCCTAAGTAGTTTATTAACGCACCGAAATTAGACAAAAATGTTACTTCGGTATGGTGCAAAAAAGATGAAATCTATCAATTACTAGTTATAGCTTGTTTCTTCTTTAGCGTACTTACTTTTTTATTTTTAGGATTTTGAGCGAACAGAAATATAACTTTTGTAATTTTTGACTCAAGGGCCCTAGCATCACCACGACGACAGTTCTGTGTAAGCTGTCATTTGCGATTCGATCGCAGATAATGGATGACTATCCTTTAGACTATGGGAACCAAAGACAGACATGACATTAACTATGATCATATTAATGATACCCTCTCTAAGGTAGTTTATTGGTTTAATGCTAACAATTTATTGCTTAATGCCTAGAGGACAAAATGTGTTAAATTTGAATTATCTAACGTAAAATCGACTAGTCCAAGCATAGAAATAAACGGAGAAAAGTTAGACCTTGTTAATAAAGCAGTCTTCTTGGGAGTGACCTTAGATAGCAAACTTCAATGGTTTCCACATATATCGTCCCTGGCCAGCAGACTAAGCTCCGCTGCATACGCAGTCCGCAGAATACGTGAGCTTACCAATGTTAGTACTGCTAGACTAGTTTACTTTAGTTACTTCCATAGTATAATGTCCTACGGGATTCTCATGTGGGGTAAAGCGGCAGATATTCAAACCATATTTGTATTGCAAAAACGAGCGATTCGTTCTGTGTACCGTCTAGGCTCTCGGGTATCTCTCAGAGAAAAGTTTAAGGGGACTGGTATCATGACTGTGGAATCACAGTACATTTACTCAAATGTTTTATATGCCCGTAAAAATATACATACTTTCAATAAGAAAGAAGATATCCATAATATTAACCTTAGAGGTAAGTCCAAACTCATGGTACCACGATTTCGTTTAACCAAGGTAAACAACTCTTTTATGGGGAACTGTATACGTTTTTACAATAAGATTCCGGAGCATATATTAAGTTTATCATTTCCTAAGTTTAAAAACTACATCAAAAATATTTTGATCGAAAAATCATATTACAAAGTTGAAGACTACGTGTTAGATAAAGATGTATGGAAAGACGACATGGCTCCAGAATCCGCACAAATTTGATTCAAAGTGTATTGGAATACACTATGGATATGCTATGGATAGCATTTAAGTTTATTTGAAAAGAGCAATCCCTAGAGTATCCTGCTCGTTCTTCTCAGGGAGGTCAGCATAGTGAACGAGCAGTAGCTTAAATGTGACGTTTTCAAGTGTAAATTTATTTTACCTATGGAATAAATAATCTTTGACTTGACTTGACTTGAAAGGACATGTTATATTGACATATATAAACTCGACGTTATACGTATATGATGCATTTAGACGTTGAAAACATAAACATGTTATTGTATTTGTTTAACTACTGCGTGCCGTTGTAACCCAAAACAGATAACATTACATAGGTATATGCCAAATACGGGAATCGATAACCTGACCTCCGGTTAAAAAACCGAACTCAAAAGTCATTCATCCCTTTAGTTTACCACCCTTAGAGGTGGAATATTTTCTTCAAATTTAAATGGGACCACTTCTGAGGTACCCTCTTTCCAACAAAAAAGAATCATCAATATCGGTTCACAAATGGCGGATTATCGCGTAACATACACACAAAAAAACACAGACGAATTGAGAACCTCCTCCTTTTTTTGAAGTCAGTGAAAAATAGGTAACCTTATCTTAAATGCCAACTGTACTCATTTTGCCATTTTTGGAGTACGGAGACGGTTGTCAAAGGGAAGTCATCCAATGTCAAAACCAATGTTTCGCCAAATGTTTTATTGAATTATTCGCATGAATTGTAATTAAATGGACAAACATATTCACAGTGAGAACAATTTAATTATTGATAAAAATATGCCGCTACAGCATTAAGGGATGTGACATTAGAAAAAGCAAAAATCACCCGAATGTTACATTCCACTGGCATGTGTTATTTTTCTGTCTATAACTAGTACAAATAGCCCAAATATCTCATGTCATTAGACTTAGTAGTTTATTCATAAGTCTTGCCAAATTTTGCTTTGGTTACTTTAGATTGCCTGTTTTTATATTTTGATGATTGTTGATAATGATTATTTTGAGATAATGTTATTTTCATAAGCATACATATTATCGATATTCTGTTATTAAAACAATTCACTACGAGGTTTTTATTATTTCATTATTATTATTTTTATTTTTAAAGGTAAAAGAATGGTTAGAAATTATAGAACTGCCGTACATAAACATTGGATCAAGTACCATTTCCATTTGTTCGCTTCATTTTGAAGAGTCAAGTTTTAATATTTTTCAAATAGAACTTTGAATGGCACTAGATTACAGTGATAATGCAATTCCATCGTAACATTTATTGGTAAATAATTTTATATTTAACTTTGATTAAATATGACTCATTACTAGGCGTTATCAGTTCCTTAAACCAAACCTATCCACTCGTTTCCGACTTTTCCCCACTGACCACTTTAACATATCGTCTGTTTAAAGGTAAAACCACATAAGTAACATT